TCTTCATCATCCAACATATTCATGTTGGATGTGAACGCGGTCCTTGGACGGACTACGAAGTGCTACCAGGTGTGACGGGGCACCCTGAAGCTTGTACTGTCACCAGTACAAGCTACTTATTCTGATGACAGAATAAGGCGGTGCCTCGTAACTTCACGTACACTCGTACGTGCAGAGGAAGACGGTAAGAAGAAGCGAGTACTCGGTTAGAGTAAAAAGTAGAACTGTATTTATAATAGTTAATGTCTGCAATAAATCACTATTTATCTTCATCTAACTATGTCTAAATACAAATGTGTAAATTAGTTATCTGCTCACCACTCATTGCGTGCGTCTGTCGTGGCGCGTCTTCGTTGGTTGATATAATGGCCTATATCAACCAATCAGGAACAACTCGTAAGTGCTACAGAATATTTGTCCTTATGACAATATTCTGAGAATATAACTCTTATAGTTATATTCTATTAACAATTTCTTTAAATTGTTATGTAACGATTCACCCCGTTACATAAACTGTTAATACATGCGATCTTCGGCGCTTGCTAGGTCGCTTGGCGTGTAAGAAATCTGTGACAGCTTGCCTGAATGACGTACCGCTTCCCGCGTGGTTCAATGCGAGTTCGTAATGCATCACATTCTTATTCGTGATAATGTACCTCTCAGTCTCCAAGTCTTTGACGAGCGGCTTCATCGCATGCGGCTTCTCGCAAAAAAATTGGCATTTCTTGGCTAAACCCTGTGCTGGTCAGACGCCACGAGACCGTCTACATCGTCGTCTTAGGCACTGTCCAGCATTTCTTCGTACCTGAAGATCATGTCGCCGATGATGGTCTTGACGATTGGCATTGAAACTTTAAATTTCACAGTGTCGCCTTCAACGTCGAGGTAAGGGTGCAAAGTGCTCACGACCTTCGTCTTCCCAGTCAAGTATATGCGATTCTACGCGTTACAAATCCCGCTACACTCAGTCCATGCATTTCCATGCTGAGTTTTATTGTACTGCGATAGTTTTGCGGCTCGAACGGTTTTCGTGTAGTACTTGATTTCAGCGCGCGACTAACGCTTGCGACCAGTTGAGTTTTTATCTTTAACCTTGACAGGCCTGTCATAGATGCAGAGCAACAATCGCACATTTTGCGCGCCGCCCTTTTTACGTCTAAACGAGCTCGAGTCCCGACTTTTTTGCATGCTTCGCCTAGAACGGTGTCGGCTTGTGCGCCATTATAGCACTGTGGCTGGACAAAATTACGATTTTGTGTAATTTACAGTAATTTATACAGGTCTTAGTTTATGGACAAGAAAAATCTGAGTACGTTGGTTATCCGACTTCTGTTAAGATTTTCCCCAATTTTTACCAGGCTTAAGTAATCGAGCAATTCATAATGTTAGTGCAAACTGTCCACCGATCCGCGGTATTCTAATGATCAAATTTTTACCAGGCCGCCGAGTTACCGTCCGTTTTGTACCAGCCTAACAGTATGCAAGAAAAGTCATGTTCATGGTCGAGATCGCAGTGCCTTTCGACCAGACTTTAGTAAATTTGTGTCTTTTGCATTTTTAAAAGGCTAGGAATGCTTGTTTGATAACTTAATACCGTCCAAGTGGGTGTTCATATCCATAAGTAAGTGTTTACCCAAATATTTCACCAAATGAATGTACCATTATCGGATACTATACGTACGAGCATCCTTCATATGTAACCCGATTTTGTTTAAAAGAAATATTCTCCTAGTAATTTGGCCCTGAATCTTGTTTCTGCTTGCGCAGCGGCAACAAGGATATGATAACTTGACAAAATAATAACCGAGACGGTAGGGGATTTAATAGCTTGAGAACGCTACTTTTTATCTTTGTTTTCATAATTGATGCAAAAGACTATCGATTCCAAATATGCTGTTACCATTTGCAGTATTGCCACCTGTTCAGTTTGAGCTTGTCAATCTGTTGATGATAATGGGACGAGATTTTATCGTATTTGTGAATTTTCTATTCCATACTTCAAACACAGCAATCATTTTACGGAAAACTGGTAAGCTTTAAACTGAACAATTGAGCTTAAATAATGCTTTTCAAATAGGTGTTTAATAATTTAGTGTCCGCCGGCTTGATTGAAATTAAGTATTTCAATCACATGAGGACATCTCACGGTCCTAGATTTCTGCGTCTTTTTTACTTGCTTACATTACTTGCCTTGAAAGGCACATGTAGCCCAAATTAAACCCTTTGGTCTACTTAAGATTAAATCCGTTTTCGTCAAGAACTGCAATATTCGTGTGTGTCCAAAACTTTTTTTTATAACGACACAAGTTTCACTTTATGTTTCATCTTATTACTCTTTTTAAGTTGCTCTGGGACGACACCAAAATTTTAACAAATTTTCGCACTTTTACTGTAGGAATTACACCGACGATCACTTACATGCTCTACATCACTAGTAATCCGCGATATGGTGATAAGTTAAATGCTTTAAACCGCTATTAACGCGCGATGTGGCTTTACCTTAATGCTCTATAACACTAATAATGCGCAACGGGAATATTACTTATATTCCCTATACCACTAGTAATGCGCGATGTGGCGATTACTACCGTGAAGTTAAAGATGCAGAAGGCATAGACTAGTGTGGTTGAGTGTGTTGTCAATACTGTTTGACGAGACCCCAAGCCACTCACTGTGCCGGACTGCCAAATGTCGGAGGGGGCACTCCGATGCCGCTTGTGGACCTTGACTTGTCTTGTGTACCCGTCGGCTTGGCGGGTTTCACTCTTTGGAGGACTTGGTGATGGTGTAGACGTCGGCCTAGATGGAGGTCGACCTGGAAGGGCGAGCTGATATGCTACAGTCGGTGTCCAATGTAGGCGGCCACTCGATCGACTTGGTCGAGAGTGGTCTAAAACCAGTTTTCTTAGGTGCTGGTGGCGCATTGCATTTACTTGTCTCAGGGGTGTTAACCGTCTGGCCTTAACGTGTTTCTCCCTCACCACTAAGGTGTGGAGACCGCTTCCTACAGCAGGCTTAAGTTGGGGGGTGATACTCTACGAACCCACAGGCCAATAAACTTTCTGGGGTTCTACTTACGCTTGTGTTTTAATGACAATGTCTATCCGACGGGTGGGCCATACAGATCCCTGTCCCGAACAGGTCGATAGACTTACAAGTTTTTATCAGCGCACAACACGTCGTGCTACTTTGATAACAAATTGAGTAGTCTTTACTGTTATCCTATCCTTGAAACTCTTTTACTCTATTTTTGCCTTGCACCTGCGTTCATAATGATGAGTGGCTAGGAGCCACCGGACCTAGAGGAACCGAGTCGACCTATGAGTGACCAGGTCGGCCGGTGGGTAGCCAGTTCGGCCAACGGGTGACCGATGCCCACCTTGGGCAACCAAGGCCGATCGATGGGTGGCCAGGTCGACCCGAGGGGGATCGAGGTCCACCTTGGGTGACCAGGGCCGACCGACGAGTGATTGAGAACGATCCATTTTGGTACCGTTTAACTGGTACATTTGGTCGGTTTGACCCCGTTGGCGGTAAATTTTACCGCTCGTCACGGTTGAACCCAACGACCGCTCCTTACCTGTGACCTCTAAGTCTTTGGTCCTTTTCCGGCCGCAAGGTCCTGTGTCCGTCTGGCCCATTAACTCTTAAGTCCATCATTTCTGAAACTTCGCTTCACCACACTAGCAATAGGTGTTTGCAGACTAAGGCCCTAAAATCGATTTACTTCACAATTTGCCTGTTTCCTGAAACATATTTGTAGCAGGTTAACATCCGCACGAGACGCCCTAGAGCAACACTCGCCGGTCCCGTGTATGCGAAGAAGGCTGAAATCATCCTCGGAGGTAAGAAATCGCTTACACTGAAAGTTCTTCATGCGAATAACGCTGGCGAGGAAGGGACTGATAGCGCACATTTATATGGTCAAGCCTTAATCAGAGATGACCCGAGTCATGAATTCTGAACGACATAAAGGCACTGGGACTGATTTCTAGGCATTGCACTAGATCATCATTACAAGCTTTGGTCGGCAAAGACGGCTATCCAAGCATAGATTATTCTGTGTGAGCTCTACAATCGCACAATCATGCACAATCTAGTGTTGATGACCCTCATCTATCATGAACATAAGATGGACGGCATCATAACGATGACCGATCACCTGTAATAGTTCCATGAACTCATCGTTGGTCTCAGTCCCTTTTGGGCCGGTTGGCAAGGCGCGACAGATCGTTTTTCCGCTTAGCAGTCTGCCTGCAGAGTACAAGCTCATCGAGTCGATCGTGGAAAACGCTAAGTACGTCACGCTTATTGAGGTGATAGAGAATCTTCTTAAGGTGTAGGTTTGACAGGGCAAGAATGAAGTCACGAAGCGCGCTCTAAAGGCTACTACGTCTGGGGGCAAGTAAGAAATTGCAAGAATAGACAAGGGGGCAGAAACAACGGACGCAGCACAACTTCTAGAGAGATAGAAGTGGGTTCGAGGTCAAGTGTAACGGGGTTGCACGAAATTATGGTACTTTGTACCAGAGGTGTTACACACCTGAGGTTACCCCTTTGTGAAGGTGATATAGAATATCTTATTGGTTTGTAGGGGCTGACGAGTGTCAGCCATTAGATACGAAAGATATTTAGGTAGGATTAAGATATTATATAGGCTTTAACAAGAATAAAATCAGTTCTCATTTTGATCTGAAGGACACGTAGCTTGCGAGCCGTCTTGATCGTTGATCACTGATCACTAAGAGCTAGCAACACCTCCTTGAGGTAGCTACTCTTGATCACTGAGTGCTGTCGATTCACTGAATCGTTAGGTCCCCTGGAACAGGGATCTGAAGCTGTAAAGCTTGTTGACTCGTAGAGTCGTTAGTTCTTTGGAACTAAGTTGCTCGTTGAGCGTTAAGTCTTCCTCTGACTTAAGGAGATGTGTAGCTCCGCTACACTTGGTAGCACTCGTAGTCAATCTACGCCTGAGTCTTAAAGACTGATCCTCTGTGAGGATGGAAAACTCAACTCCCCTATCTGAGGCCCAAAAGGTCGCGCTTGATAAGCTGACCGCATCTTTGGGTCCAGAGTACGTGGAGTTCCTTGTTTCACAAGGTCCTGAAGTGCTTAATGCACGTGTTGAAAGCTTCATGCAGTATGAAGCGACCCTTTTAGGGCAGGTCCAAGACCAAATAGCGTCGGCTATGCCTACACGCTACGTGTCTGTACCAGACGAAGAGGCTAAGACTCGTCCACTTAGAGTGGAAGTGAAAAACTACTCCGGTAAGGAGAGTAAGAACCTCATCCTCTGGATCCGTGAGATTGAGATGGCCATGAGATCAGGCCTGATCACGCTTGACCATCAACAGGTCTCGCTGGCTACCTCGAAGCTCGATGGTAGAGCTAGAGAATGGGCCTTGACGTGTAGCACGTCGGTGGACATAGCGTTTCCCACATGGGAGTCGCTCAAGACACAATTGGTACAGGTGTTTTCTCCCCCTAACCAGGCTTACCGCGTGCGTTCACGCTTTCTTTCTACCCGCCAGGGTAAGAATGAACTATCGGACTATGTCCAAGAGCTGCGAACGGCTCATGACTGCAATGCAGTCTGACCCTCTGCCTGAAGCAGTCCATGTGACTATCTTCATGGAAGGTCTACGTTCTGGCATTGCCAGAACCGAGGTTTTTCGGGTTCACCCCTCTACGTTTAAAGAGGCTGTGAGAATTGCTCTTAATGCTGAGCATAACTTCAAGTCGGCCAGACTTGGTTGGAATGGATTCAATCCTCGCTCTGTGAGAGCAAACTATTCGGGTACCACTGCCTAAAAAAGGCCGGAACCGATGGATCTCAGCTATGCTGAAGATGGAGGTGAAGCTGAGCTTCAAGCTGCTGAGCAGCAACACGTCGTTCGACGATGCTTTATGTGCAGAAGCACTAAACACTTGCGGCCTGGTTGCCCTTTGCGTAAGCAACGCCAGGCTACGAGCCAACACTCGACCCCGAGTCAGAAGTCTGGCATGGCACGGGGAAATGACGCCCCCAGTAGGCGCGGGGCGCCCTACTGGGGAAGAACTATGTTCTGTTACACTTTTAGAAGGTAAAGGAATGCAAGGCTTAGCCCCAAAGAGTACCATACCTACAGGTATGGTGCGTGGATACAAGTATGGCTTGTTGGTCGCCGAGGCGAAAATTTAGGCCTTTGAGAAGCCTTGGTCGATATTGATCGATTCTGGAGCGTCTTGCAATTATGCTCGACGCCTTTCCCTTAAAGGAAGTCAGCGTTATGCTGAGGCGCTTACAGCGCATGAGGGTGATTCTATCACGGTTCGTTTAGCGACTGAAAGTCGCGTAAATGTGCCTAAAGTTCCATTGAACTTAGATATAAAGTTTTTAGACTTTGACAGTATTGAGCGCTGTCTTGTCCTAGATTTGGACTTGATATATGATCTCATCATAGGTATGGCTTGGCTTGAGCGCCATGAGCCCTGGATTGATTGGAGGTCCAAGACCTTAGGCGCTACGCGCAATGTTCCTAGCGAAGCTTTGGAGAGTCATGAACCCACCTTCGCTAGGCAACAGAAGCGCTATTGGCGCGAGCCTTTGACAGAAGATGTCAATGTGCTGGATATTTGATTGTCTGAGTTATTTAACTCCAATGTTACAAACATAAGCTTCGAGCCTAGCTCGTCTAGTGAAACGGCACGTACTCCGTTGAGTGTTACTCGTTGTGATAACGAGTCACCGCATGCTGAAAGCATGGTTGGCCTAGGGCCGAGTGATCAAGGGTGTGATTCCTTTGATGTGTGTATGGTGGCACGTGAAACTACACCGAGTGTGGTCGGCCGTGAGCACCGCACTGAATGTCGGTAATGAAATTGTTGGCCATATGCCATTTAGTGGGGGCGGCCGTGAAGGTACCACCCTTAACGTCGGTAATGGCGTTGTTACGCCGTATAGTGTGGACGGCCGTGAGGACACCACACCTAATGTCAGTCATGATACTGTTGGCGATACGCCGTATAGTGTGGACGGCCGTGAGGGCACCACACCTAATGTCGGTAACGACCTTATTGGCGAGACGCCGTTAAATTTGGGGCTAGGCCCGCATAATACACGTGGAGTGACACGTTTGAATCCACTGGGTGAATTGTTCGAGTTATGTAACACTTCACCGGATGTCGGTCAATACAAAAGCTCTCGTATAGAGCGTACTATGGTTGGTAGTAACCATGGGGACAATATTGTCCCGACGCCTAAGGGGTGTAAGGTCTCGAAGAGACGATCGAGACGCCGGGTAGCAACTTTTAAGCGCCAGGCGTCCTCACAGTCACATAGTGATAATATTAATGCACTATATACACTTGTTAATGGAGTGACTGTTCAGGTTGATGGCAGTGTTTGCCTTGAAGCCCTTCCATCTGTGGACGCTATTTGTGAGCTAGACGAAATGTCTGATGGCGAGTTTAGCCAGGCCTTCAAGGCAGGAGAATTATCCGAGTTAGCGGACATTAGACTTGATACTGAGTTGAAGTCTTCCTCGTTAATGGATGAGTCCTTCCTAGACGATACAAAGTCGGCACTTGGTGCACGAAGTGGATCTTCGATCCTTAAAGATCCTTTGGATCCGTTCTGTCCTTTAGTTAAGGAATTTTAAGATGTGGTGTGTCACAACCCACCTTCTGCCTTACCTCCCGATAGAGGTGTACGTCATGAGATTGACTTAGTTCCTGGAACTAAATACTGTGTAACACGGCAGTGGCCTTTGCCGAAGAACAGTGTGACGTCATTGACGAATTCTTTCGTGCTAATCAAGCGGCTGGAATGGTTCGTGAGAGCAAGTCTCCCCATTCAACACCGACATTTTGTGTCAAAAAGCCAAATGCCAAGTGGCGTATTGTGCATGCTTATAATAAGCTTGATGCAGCCACTATACCGGCGCAGAAGCCTATTCCTAGAAAGGATGTGCTTCAAAACAATATGGCAGGATGTATATTGTACAGTGCACTCGACTCAGTCGAAGGTTATTACCAACTGCTTATGCGAGTAAGTGATATTCCGCTAACAGCGGTGAGTACTCCGAGCGGTATGCTATGGGAGTGGCTTTTTATGCCACAAGGGCTAATTAATGCCCCGGCTACGTTTAACCGGCTGGTAGCGCAACTATTCAGACCTCATCGAGGCTATGCACAAACGTACTTTGATGACATTTTTGTCCATAGTCGTGCAATGAATGGGCGATCAGATGTGGATAACTACATTGATCATTTACGAGTTGTGCTCGAGTGTATGCGAACGAATAAGTTGTATGCTAACGCATCGAATTGCATCTTTGGTGCAGAAGAGATTCCCTTTCCAGGTTGCTTCATTAAGAAGCGAGGCCTTCGAGCGGATCCCGCTAAGGTGAAAGTCATAGTCGATTGGCTGGTTTCCAAAAACCAAAAGGACTTGCGTAAGTGGCTTGGCCTTGCCAATTACTTACATAAGTACAGTGCGAATTACGCAGATATGGATCGGCCATTGTCCAATCTCCTTATAAAGGATGTGGATTGGTGTTGGGGGTAACACCGAACATGATGCTTTTGAAGCAGTTAAGGAGAGTCTCCTTCATGCGCCAATACTGGCTTTTCCCGATTCTGGTCGGCCTTTCAGTGTCGTCTGTGACGCCTCTGACTTTGCCATAGGCAGTGCTCTGTTACAAACAGATGTCGACGGACGCGAACGCGTCATCGCATTTGAATCTCGACAGCTGAAAGCTGCTGAAAAGAACTATCCTGTTCATGACAAAGAGCTACTTGCTATGAAGTACGCTCTTGTCAAATTCAGAGTCCATCTGCTTGGCTCGAAGCCATTTGTGATCTGTACCGATCATGCGTCATTGCGCACTGCGACACAGTCGCCTCATCTCTCACAGAGAATGGCTCGTTGGCTTTCTTTCTTTGCCGAATATAACTTCGAGGTGAAGTACAAGCCAGGTAAGCAAAATGATTTGGCTGATGCGCTATCGCGTCGACCTGACTATGAGCTTGCTCATGTTACGAATCTATCGTCGTCAGTCCCTGACTTAATCAGTGCGGCATCTTTCAAGGATGATCAGTGTGTAGCTTTGCTACGTGCTCTTGGGAGATATGAGTTGAAAGACTCGGACGTAGAATTGTCGGCACTTTTACGTGCGAGGCTACATCGATATTCCATAGATAATGGCCTGTTGTGCTATCGAACGGATATTGAGGATAAGCCTCGTATCGCTGTACCTCATGATGAGAAATTAAAGTATCAAATCCTCTATGAGGCACATGATACTGCTTTAAGTGGTCATCTCGGTCGTGAGAAGACTTATAGCTCAGTGAGCCAAAGTTATTGGTGGCCCAAACTTTATAAGTGGGTGCGCACCTATGTGCGTACGTGCGAAACGTGTCAACGGGTTAATCCCTCGGCACATGCGGCGGCGCCGCTGGCTAGTTTGCCAGTACCCACTGGTTGTTGGGAGTCCATGAGCATGGATTTTGTGTTTGGCCTACCGAAAGATTCGGAAGGCAACACTGGTATTGTGGTCTTTGTTGACTAATTAAGCAAGATGGCTCACTTAGGGGCTGTGCCGGATAGCATCGATGCTGAAGGTACAGCAAAGCTGTTTATCGACCGCGTGTTTCGCCAACATGGCTTGCCGGTGGCAATAATCTCTGATAGAGACCCCCGCTTTACTGGGAAGTTTTGAAAGTCTATCTTCAAGGTGCTTGGCACTCGGTTGGACATGTCCACAGCGGATCATCCGCAGACCGACGGTCAAACTGAGCGTATTAAACGCGTCATCAACGACATTTTGCGCATTATTTCCGCTGATACTCCTAGGCGTTGGAGCTCAATGCTCCCTGTTGTTGAGTTTGCGTTGAATAACGCTGTTCATGCCTCAACAGGCTTTACTTCGTTCTATATAAATGGTCTCACTCACCCTCGCGTTCCGTTCACGCTATCACTACGTGAATCAGGGCTTGGTTGGGGAGAGGTTGCCGATCGGCTTGCTGATATCAGCCCTGCTACTGTTCAAAAACAGGTAGGCGAGTTTCTCGCAACTCGATTAAATGTATTAAGACATGTGCGTGACGCAATGGCTGATAGCCAAGATACCCAAAAACAACAAGCTGATGCCAAAGGCAGAAATTGTATTGAACGTTATGAGGTCGGAGACCAAGTACTACTCAATGCTAAAAATCTTACTACAAATGTAGTGTCTGCTGTCTTTAAGACAAAGTTGTGCCACGCTTTATTGGACCGTTTACGGTCACTGCCAAGAAGGGACTTGCGTATACGCTAAACCTTCCGCGCATATTGCGCACACACCCAGTGTTCTACGTAGGCTTACTTAAGCCGTACCTGGATCCTTCCCATGTGAACTTGGAGGCGCTTGCGCCGACGACAAGGGCATTGCCCCGGATTGCTGTAGACGAATCAGCAAGTCCAACTGAGCCTTGCTCCGAGTTTGAGCTTGCTCCATCGCCTGAAGGCGGCTTTGCATCGCATCCAGCATGCAATGGGACTTACTTAAGGTCTCTTGAAGACCCTTCACTTCGAGAACCAATTTCTTGTGGGCCTCCACCGGTACACCGGCCGCCACCGACTTTGCTCGATGAGCATGGGTGTCGTCAATTTTATGTCGAGAGACTACTGAAACGACGTCGTCGTCAGGGCCAATACCAGCACCTGGTAAAGTGGCGAGGGTACCCTGAGTCTGAAAACTCCTGGGAATTTGAGGTACCCCTTCGGCAAGACTGCCCATTTGCTTTGGATGCTTTTGAGCATCGTGGCCATGGTCATCTCTAGACCGAGGCCGTTCCCCGCCACTAGTGGTGCGGGTCGGCGGGTTGTTGGCCACAGACTGACCAGCACTCGCGGCTACCTTAGTAGCCGAAGTATAGCGCGTGCGCTTGCGCAATTGGCCTCTGGCCTTAAGCTTGGCATAATCATACCGAAGCTTGCGTTCGAGACGCACATCCGCCGCATGGGCACTAGCCCTTAGAGCAAAAATGTTGCTGAGGCGACGCACATAGTGCACTCAGTGAACGAAGGCATCGTCTTCTTCGCTCACTGTTTCGCCTGCGAGCAAGAGAATGGGTATACCCTTGATCGGTGGAACCGGTGCACCACTTGCTTGAATGTCAAGGCGTGCCTTGTATTGACTTTGAGTCGTTAGGTGCGGCTCCAGGTACCTCTTACGAAGTGCCTGGCAGCTCACCACCTCCTCAGGAGTCTTAGGCCCATGTCCAATGCCCCACGTTGCCAATGTTTGGCCGGCCGCTTGACGTAGACGTTCCTCCACACTGGGTGGGGTTAACACATAGTCACGCTGGCGTTCAAGAGTTGTAGCCATTTGTACATAACGCTGAGCGTTTTCTTCTCTTTGGACAAGCAGTTGTTGTTGCTCATCGAGCGGGTTCGTGATGATAGTCTCATCAGATCCAGATGCTGCATGCTGCGCTGGTGGCGCGCTCGCACCTCCACGTTTAGCGAACGGATTTGGGGTGTTCGAAGGTTGTGCCTCAGGCATCAGTGAGCCGGACATTGTCCCTGTGTCACCGCGGAAACTGGTATCGCTACCATATTCGACCTCCTCCTCTATCCCAAGGTATTCACACAGAGCCTTTGACTCGTTTATTGATGAGGACATCGTGCTAGAGCGTACGTTACCGTGAGGTGTACGCGCACTGTTCTCGCTGAGAACACAAGTTCGATTGACGTTTTGGCAAACGTCAGTCTGGTGGGGGAGGGTGTAACGGGGTTGCACGAAATTATGGTACTTTGTACCAGAGGTGTTACACACCTGAGGCTACCCCTTTGTGAAGGCGATATAGAATATCTTATTGGTTTGTAGGGGCTGACGAGTGTCAGCCATTAGATACGAAAGATATTTAGGTAGGATTAAGATATTCTATAGGCTTTAACAAGAATAAAATCAGTTCCCATTTTGATCTGAAGGGCACGCGGCTTGCGAGCCGTCTTGATCGTTGATCACTGATCACTAAGAGCTAGCAACACCTCCTTGAGGTAGCTACTCTTGAGCACTGAGTGCTGTCGATTCACTAAATCGTTAGGTCCCCTGGAACAGGGATCTGAAGCTGTAAAGCTTGTTGACTCGTAAAGTCGTTAGATCTTTGGAACTAAGTTGCTCGTAGAGCGTTAAGTCTTCCTCTGACTTAAGGAGCTGTGTAGCTCCGCTACATCAAGTGCGTCAACTGTGACAATTTTGGTCACATGAAGCGGAACTGCCCACTCATGCATGGATCTAGCAAGTATAACGAGGTTGCGTTCTTCGCCGCCGGGGAGAGTCGGCCATCGGAGACTTATCGACAGTGGTGCGACGGCACACATGACGCCGCATGAGAAGACTTGTTCGACTACAAGTAGAGGTTAACAAGCACTTAGGTTACCACCGCAGAAGGCTAGAAGATCCGTGTTGCAGAAAATGGGTTGGTGCGCTTAACAAGCAATAAAGCTAATGCGTATTCGGATGCTGGACGTACTTCACATACTTGGCCTTGTTCGGCAACTACTAACCGTCGGCAAGCTTATAGTACGCAAGCTCATCGTAAAGTTTTAGTGCATACCACGTGTCATTTGAAACAAGAACCCAGCAATTGCCTTGTCGAAAAAGTTTGGCAAGTCTTACATGCTGGAATATTACGAGCAAACAGAGCAATACGTGGCGTATTCAGACTTTGACAGTGAGTGGGAGATTTTGTACGCCTTCATGGGCTAATTGAACGAATACGCACTGGCAAAGATGCAGCACGTGACGACTGAAACTCAGTTACCATTTTAAAGAAGAAAGCGCTGCTCAGTGAATTCTTTGAAGGCGAGCAAAATTAAGCGCAATTTCCATCTCGTTTGCAGACGATGATGTCCTGTATTCAGATTCCTATGCACACAAACGTTACGTTGACGACTACTCGAAGTATGTTACGGCATATTTTTCAAGAAGGAGAGAGAAGTGCTGGGAATGTTTGGGTCGTTTAATACCATGTACGTGAATCAGTGAGGAGCGCGCATAGACATTTGATGCGCGCTCCCCACTTAGCCGGATTAGTAAACAAGGACCTGGACGGAATCTGTAAACGTAACTTGATTCTGCACTAAATGACTGTGTTGTAAATCTTTCAGCAAATTAATAAGTGGAGTGGATAGAAACGCTACTGGAGAAAGAGCGAAGCATGGCGCACTACAAGGGCGTATCTATACCCTGGTGGGCAGAGGCTTTCAGTATGGCAGTGTACTTTGGCGAATTGGACAAATAGCACGCACACTGACGCGACTTCATACGAGGTTAGACTCAAGATGAATACTCTACTTGTGAAACTTGCGGGTATTTGGATTGATGGGTAATGCTCGTTTTAAAGATGCTAAGCTCACCCAGCTGAGGCCAAAGAGCATAAACTTTATGTTCCTTGGATATGGGGACAATACGAAGGGCTATGGCGTGTACGATCTGGAGCTGAACAAGGCTCAGATGCTAAGATCTGTGAAGCTAGACGAACGCGAAGTGATATAATTTACGACACATCAATGAAGGGGAAAGCTGAAGTCATCAACGTGATCATGGATATCAGCAAAGTAATTTAGCCTAAACCTGGGAAGTATTCGCCTCTAAGGATGAACCGATGGATTCAATAAAGGGTACGTTAGAGGTCGTCGAGATGCAAGAAGATGAACATGAGCCTGTAGCATCAGGTAAAAATTGATGATGTAATATCAAATACGTAAACCGACAGAAAACGACAACATGATGTTTAGGCACAAAATGGAATTATCTCTGCCTCCAAGAGTATCATTTTTCTGTCTTTTAGTGGATTGACCAGGCAGACAAGCACAAGACGGATAGCAACGACAAATCTGTCAGCGAAGATCAATTCTATCCGCCATCACTAAAGCGAAAGCGTGTTAATGAAGATAGTCTGCTTGCACAATCTGCACTAGCCTACGCGGCATGTTTTCATGATAGAGATGATGCACCGACTTCATATTAGTAGGCCATGGACAACTGATACTATGAGTGCTGGGCTCAAAGCTTACTAGAAAAATGATTTATGGAAGCCGATCTATAAGATGAAGGAAGTCCGATGCAGATAGGTATATGCTCCTAACGGGGAAGAGCGCGTGCATATGGTGAAATACAGCACTTCACTTGTCACAAAAAAGTCAACCATAAATTCGTTTTCACCGTTATAACTTGCTTGCCCGTGGTGAACATAAACTTGAGTCAGGGTCGTGCTAGCTGTAGTGGTAGCACAGGGACAAATTACCGAACAGCTGGATGCAGACACGGATTCCTAAACATAAATCTCAAGGAGGAAGATTTTATGAAATACCCGATGGCATAGCAAGCGCTGAGAAAATTTTTAAATGCTGGATGAAACAATTACGGTCTTAAGCAAGCCGCGAGTGTAACGGGTCACATTTTGTTTGGGTTCCACGAAACTTCATGTACACTCGTACGTGCAGAGGAAGCTATTCTACTTAAACAGCTCGTTTAAGTAAAGGTCAAAAAGAGAACTGTATTCAATATGCTTAAGCAATCAATATAACTTTAATCTTTATCTAACTAGATTAAACCACGCCGTCGTATAACGACAACCTGCTCACCACTCATTACGCGCGTCTAGCAGCGGTTGGTGGCAATCTATGGTTGATATGTCTTTTATCGACCAATCTTTGAGCAGCACATGGATATTATTTAAATGAGGGTAATATTTCTTCGATGTTATCCATCTCTGATAATATTGGTAGGGAATTGTCACGCTCGACAACATCCCTATTGGCACCGTTTGGTGTTAATATGCTGTAACGGGCTACCCCGTTACAGCATACCCTTCATCCACGTCATCTGCAATTACAATGATACAGAAAACGATTCAAACTAGCCCACTTCTAAATCAATGTGTACCGTACCTTGATGATGACACAAAAAGCCCCAATCTTGAGGTTTTTTGGCATATTGCCACCCTTCCATGTCCTGGATTGCAAGCTCGAAAAAGTTGCACAACAGAGCACAAAAGCGCCAACCGTCAGGCTTCGCAAGAACGGTGCGGAAGATGAGTGACACAGGATGCAGCCTCTGTCGTGAAACCGGACACGACTGGTGCCGTTTCCTATCTCGTGTCTTTACCGATTCCATAGATACCAGCAAAGACTGATTTTTGACGAACTCAATCCACCTGCCGCTGCCGTCGTTCCAGTTCATGAACACGCCACGTACGTCTTCAGTCCAGATCGCAAACACACCGTCTTCATTCCAGATCATGATCAAGCCGTCTTCGTTTAGAATATAGACATGCTGCCTTCGTTACAGATCATAAATGTAACGGGGTGAATCGTTACATAACAATTTATAAGAAATTGTTAATAGAATATAACTATAAGAGTTATATTCTCAGAATATTGTCATAAGGACAAATGTTCTGTAGCACTTACGAGTAGTTCCTAATTGGTTGATGTAGGCCATTATATCAACCAACGAAGACGCGCCACGACAGACGCACGCAATGAGTGGTGAGCAGATAGTTGATTTACACATTTGTATTTAGACGTAGTTAGATGAAGATAAATAGTGATTTATTGCAGACATTAACTATATCAAATACAGCTCTACTTTTTACTCTAACCGAGTACTCGCTTCTTCTTACCGTCTTCCTCTGCACGTACGAGTGTACGTGAAGTTACGAGGCACCGCCTTATTCTGTCATCAGAATAAGTAGCTTGTACTGTCACCAGTACAAGCTTCAGGGTGCCCCGTTACACCTGGTAGCACTTCGTAGTCCGTCCAAGGACCGCGTTCACATCCAACATGAATATGTTGGATGATGAAGATGACCAAAGCTTTCACGCTACGCGTGACGGCTACTCCCATTTGAGCGATGTCGAATGGGATGCGGTTGAACGAATGGGTTCGACCATGGGCATCCATGCTGTTAGCGTCATGCTAGAGGCTCTCAATAGAGATGCCCAACATGCTACAATCGCCAAGTTCATTCAAAATGAACTTGACGCTGAACGCGAGAAAGTAGCCTTGCTTCACCAACAAGGTTCTCAACAAGCAGAGTTGTTGAGAGAACAAGGTGCTCAACAGTTTGAACTGTTGAGACAGCAGCAGGCTACTGCTGGTGGGTCGATGCATTCGCGTCGACCCGAGACCTTGAAGATTGACATCTCCAAGTATAGGGGAGTCGAAGAGGACTCCCTCTTGAGATGGTTCATCGAATTGGATGACGCCATAAGGGCGCGTCGCATCGACGACGGGGATATGCAAGTTGCATTTGCCCAATCAAATCTGGCAGGACGTGCCAAGACTTGGGCACTGGGGCTCAATTTGCACGACCCATATGCGTTTGGGTCGTTGGAAGTCTTCAAGTCGCGGCTCAGACAAACGTTTGAACCGCCTAGAGCTGAGTTCAGGGCTCGAACCGAACTCTTGAAGCTCAAACAGGGTAAGCGTGATGTGCACGCTTACGCCCAACATATACGACATCTTACGAGTTGTATAAGTTCCAATCCGGTGGATGAACACACGTTGGTTTCGGTGTTCATGCAGGATCTTGCGGATGGTCCCGTTAAGACTCACCTGTTTCGGCTTGAACTAGATTCACTAGAACAAGCCATTTCCATTGCGGAGCAGGAAGACTTCAGTCTGAGACAGGCTTGCGCCAGCTCGACATCATATCGTCAACCGAGACGATATGACAACGGAGGTCCAGAGCCGATGGAACTCTGTTATGTAGAGAGCGAGAAGGCTCGCTCTACAGGCTACAAGAAGTTGCAGAGATGCAACAGATGTCAAAAGACAGGACACTACGCTTACGAGTGTAGTGCCCCTCGTCCAGTGTCTCGCGACACTGGGCGTAGTGACCGTCCACCCATGAGAAAGGGGCAGGGACGAGGGTCCGCAGTTGGTGCAAAGACGCAACAACGGGATGGACCGTCAAAAAACGGACAGGATCAGTAGGTGCGGAGCACCCTACTGGTCTAGCAACGTCAAGAGAATTTGTAGGCCTCTTGATGAAGGTTGCTCCCAACACACAAACGTTGTGCGTTGCTGCTCTAGGTAATGAGGTCTCACTCATTACCTTGAAACTCGAAGTGACAAATAAGTTGTCCCTTCGAGCTCTAGTCGATTGTGGGGCGTCCAACAATTTTGTGCGACGCCAATCGCTAGAAGATGGTCACTTTAAATTCAGTGAATGTGACACACCTCCTACGAGGATGACGGTACGTCTTGCGACAGGCGCATCCGTAACCGTCATGAAGCGTATAGTGAAGATCCACTATACGCTAGAAGATACCCAATATGACGATGACTTTATCGTATTGGATTTGGATGACAAATTTGATGTCATCCTTGGAATACCGTGGCTCAGAAGGTACGAACCACGGGTAAACTGGCAACATCGAACAGTAACGATGCCTGCCGCTTGTTCATCAGATGGCCATCTCATGAACGTTTTGGAGCGTCCACAAGCGTGTGGATGTACTACGAGTGAGTGCGATGGCCTCACTTGTGGTACGGTCGTTAGTACGACTGCACGAAACCTTAGTGTACCAAACGGTTACACTTCGGAGCAGAGTTCCGGCGGCTGTGAGGAAACACAGGCTGCGCCGAAGGTCCACCACTCGAATAAGTCGGGTGGACTGGGACAAAGATGTATCCCTAGCGGGGAACATCCAGAAGAGAAACAATCGATCGCTCAGGTTAAGCGAAACGATAATCCTAGATCGACTGGAGAGTCTTTCGTAGAGAATCTCGCTGTGGTTGCGCAACCCCAGCTAGAGGAAGTAAAGGGAATAAGTCCCAAGATTACAAATACGGCGGAAGTAAGTTCCCCGAAACCCGCGGGAATAAGTCCCCGGGAAGCCGAAGGAATAAGTCCTTCGAAGCCTGAGGGAATAAGTCCCCAGGAAATGACAGAGACATTGAATGTCATAGTCAATAACGGATCAAGTGTAGGCGCTTATACACTTAATCTGATTGCGCCTCCGAAGTTAACTTCGGAGATCACTCAGTTGCCAACGCTCGAACATAAGTGTTCTTGCGTGATCTGCGCAGTGGCAAAGTCAAGCAGATCTGCATACTCGTCGCTGACGACGAGTTTGTAGCCGACATAAGGTCAGCAACAGTGTTCACTGAGAACGAGAGAGTTCTCAGTAGTTCATCTATGGACGAGAGTGTCCTAGATGAAAAGACACGAATTGAGCGATATGACTCCCAATCATGGGAATCGCTCAAGAAAAATCCTCTCTATGAAGATTTGGTTGAATTCAAGGATGTATTCCCTGAAACTGTTCCGTGCGAATTACCGAAGGATAAAGGTATTCGACACGAGGTCGAGCTTAAACCAGGCTCAAAGTACTGTGTCATGAAGCAGTGGCCATTGCCTCGTGAACAAGTACTTGCGATCGACAAGTTCTTTGCCGATCGTTTAGCTGCGGGCCATGTGAGGGAATCAACTTCCCCACATAGCTCTCCGACCTTCTGTGTGCGAAAAGCAACAGGAGGGTGGCGGATAGTGCACGCATTTAACAAGTTGAATGCTGCTACGGTACCGGCTCAGACGCCGATACCGAGGAAGGACGTAATCATTGATGGTATGTCAAAGAGTACCATCTTTTCGTCCATGGATTTGATGGATGGATTCTATCAAATCCTTATGCGGGAACGGGATATAACCTATACCGCAGTTAGCACGCCTAGCGGCATGCTCTGGGAATGGCTAGTAATGCCACAAGGGCTTAGTAATGCCCCTGCCACGTTCAACAGATGTGTATCACATCTGTTGAGACCAGTACGAGAATTCGCGCCGAGTTATTTCGATGACGTATTCATCCATAGTCGAGCTATGGATGGAAAGTCGGACGTTGAGGTTCACAGGTACCACGTCCGACAAGTTCTTACAATCATGCGAAAGCATCAATTGTATGCTAACCTCAAGAAGTGTATATTTGCAGCAAGCGAAATACCACTTCTTGGGTGCATCGTTGGTAAGAACGGTGTGCGTCCTGATCCCAAAAAGATCAAGGCGATCACCGACTGGCCTGTGCCGGTCGATGTCAAAGGTCTTCGAAAATTCCTTGGGCTAGCGGCGTATTTGCATAAGTATTCACGCAATTACGCCGAGATGACTGTGCACCTCTCTCGTTTGTTGAAAAAGAACGAGAGGTGGTTATGGAACGCTGAATGTAAGCGCTCTTTTGAGGGTATCAAGCAGAGCTTGATACAATCCCCAGTCCTAGCAATAGCCGATCAGGACAGGCCACTTCATGTGGTCTGTGATGCCAGCGATTTCGCAATCGGCTGTGCATTAATGCAGTACGATCTTGAAGGCGTTGAACGCGTCGTCTGCTATCAGTCGCGTCAGATGCAACCAGCTGAGCGGAACTATCCAGTGCATGACAAGGAACTCCTTGCCATGAAGTATGCACTCGCGAAGTTCAGAGTCTATCTATTAGGAGATAGACCCTTCGTTGTTTACACTGACCATGCGTCATTACGCACGGCAGTGAACAGCCCGCACCTTTCACAACGAATGGCGCGGTGCTTGTCATTCTTTGCGGAATACAACGTTACGGTCGAGTACAAACCAGGACGACTTAATGTCGTCGCTGATGCACTCTCACGTCGTCCCGACTTTGAAACAGTCGCGAAACCCAACAGTGAGACAGTCACTGTTGCGGTTATGACGTCCTCAGTCCCATCTACAACGTTGTATGATGATGTGAGGCGGGCATACGCCCAAGATGGTGAGATTGTGAAGTTGTTGACACATCTCTCCCAACCATCCCGAGAATCGTTGAAACGATTGTCGCCTGCGTATCGATCTGCATCAGATCGATACACTACTCGTAACGGTTTACTGTATTATACAACCGTTTCTGGTGACACACCACGTGTTGTCATTCCAGATGATACTGATCTGCGTTTGCGGATCATGTTCGAGTATCACGATGCTCCTATAGGAGGACATCGTGGCCGAGAGAAAACATATCTCACGGCAAGTCGAGACTTTTACTGGCCCCGCCAGTATCAGTTTGTGCGAAAGTATGTTCGCGCATGCGAAGTCTGCCAACGAGTGAAGTCAAGTCCTTCACTGCGTGCACCTTTACAGCCTCTACCGGTTCCGGCTGAGTGCTGGGAATCCATCTCAATGGATTTTGTCTTCGGGTTACCCAAAGACGCACGCGGGAATACGGGAATTCTCGTATTTGTTGACAGATTCAGCAAAATGGTACACCTTGTGGCTGTACCAGAGACAATCACGGCAAGTGGCTGTGCTTGTGTCTTTATTGACACCATCTTCCGACTTCATGGGTTGCCCCGTGAACTCGTATCAGACAGAGATCCACGATTCACTGCTGATTTCTGGCGTTGTGTGTTCAAATCACTCGGAACGCGCTTGAAGATGTCGACATCTGACCATCCAGAGTCAGATGGTCAGACGGAACGAGCCAATCGTGTCCTTGAAGAGATACTTCGAGGATGCGTAGACTCCTTTCAGAGTTGGAGTGAGTTTTTGCCAATGGTAGAGTTTGCCACTAACAACTCGGTGCATGCGTCCGCGAACATACACCATTTTACGTGAATGGCTTACGCCATCCACGTGTACCCACCTTACTAGAGTGTAACTCTGGTTTGAGGGGGGGGGCTCGCGCGAGCAAAAACCGATTTGGTTCACGCTCATCACGCTCTGACGAAGAAGTCATTGCGTTTGATGCCGATATCGATAACATCGATATCGAAGAATATGATGCCAGTGAGAGTGCGGAAGCCCTCACTGAAGAAAAGGTTGATGTTGCTGCAGTGCGCTCACAGCACACTGAAGCTAACGAGTCATCAGATGAGTTCATACTGGCTCGTGAAACGGTAGTCTGTTTTGTGCAAGACTCCATCGCCGAAGCGGTGGATAAGCAAAAGCAAAACGCTGACAAGAATGGAAGGGCAAACACTCTTTTATTTGATAAAAGTGACTTAGTCCTACTGTCTACGGTTAATCTACCAAAGCATGTAGTGACTTACTTGGGTAGCAGTAAACTACTACTCAAGTACATCGGCCCATTTCGTGTATTGCACCGCCTAGGCAATGCATACACGATCGAGTTACCACGTAAGATGCGAACGCATCCCACGTTTTACGTTGGTCGGCTTAAGCCGTACCATCAGTACGCTGCTTCTTCCGATGAAGAACGCCCTTGCGCTCAAGCATCTCGCAGAGAGCCTTGTGCTCCCGATGGTGGGCATCAACAAGGGTCTGAAGAGAAGTTATCTCAGCCCGAGACCGATCAACAATCCCACGAGCTACCCTTAGCTCGTCACGAAGAGATGTCAGAGATCTCTCGTTCTCGAGCTGAGCAAAGGCAAACTCAGCTCGATGCTTCGAGGCATTGTCCGCCATTTGGAGACGCCTATTCCGCTCATGTTCGAGATCGTCGCGTAACCCTTGCGTTACGCGATCAAAGAAGCTCTCGGGAACACACCGATCCACATGATCGTGTGGAGAGCGTCTTTCCTCCTCCTCCACCTCCATTAGAGGACTCTCGCGGTGGCCAGTGCTATCTAGTTGAGCAGCTGTTGAACCACCGCGACGTGAACGGACGTCGGACGAGTTATCTCGTCCGGTGGCGCGGCTATCCCCGTCCTGGGATTCTTGGGAGCCCCGCTCCCAACTGATGATCGACGTACTGGGTCTGGTTGAGCAGTACGACGCGGCACATCCTGTGCCGCAGAAGGACCGCCGGAGAAAGTCTTCCCGGCACGGTCGTAAAGGGATTTCAGGTTGTCAATCCCTTCGTACATCTCAGTAGAGACACGTACGCGCCACCACGGGCTGGTAAGGAGGTAAGCCTCCTTAGGTGCTCGTGCAGAGTTGTTCACACAACATGGGCACGAGTCTCCCCAAGAGAGGCAGGGTAATCCTTTCTCCCTTGACAGACGATGCAGCTTGTAGCGTGCACCTGTCGGGGTTCGCTTTTTAAACTTATCACGAGCTTTGATAAGTTTGTCGTTCCAAGCGTCACGACCTACATCATCGAGGTTATGGATGTAGGCGTTCCACGCTTGAAGCAGTGAGGGACCATCACGTTTGTGATTCCCACTGTACCATCGATGTTTGAAGAAAGCATCGATGAAGAATTCATGTTCAGCGCGATAGTTTTTCGCACTGGGGTCAAGGTGATGGATCCTTGACGAATCGAACAATCGTGTTCGATAACGATCACTCGTCGTCGCCGACAAGTGATCCGTGACTGATTTAGGAGGCATCCATGCCTTCTTCTCAGGAGCGAGACGCAACACATTGCGGTCCCGCTCTTCCTGCGACGTGCCGACAGAAGTACTGGCACCTCACTGTGAAGTGGTGTCCATAGGAGAACCGGCACCACTGTTAGCGCCCGAGTCTCGCGACCTCGAGCGCCTTCGCTTCGGCGATGGTTCATCTGATTCATCAGATGAACCAAAGATGCTACGACGCATAGCATCATCCATGCCACGTTTGGCAGGCGGCTTAGATTCGATCGCCGTCGATACGGATCCGTCTTCCGTATCAGGAGAGTATGAGACACCGAGCTCATACTCTGTGAAGACATGAGTGTCTTCATGACCAGCGCCTGTATCACCAAGTGACACAGGCTGAGTCGCTTCAGCAACCGATGAGACATCAGTTGCTGTGGTTTCTGCTTCGGCGTCCGCACAGAGACGTGCGGACGCGCTCTCGGCGGCCTTGCTCGCGCATCGCATGGGCTTGTTAACCATGCGATGAAATGTTGGAGAGTGGACTCGAACCAACAAGTGCAAACCCTGTCCCAAATGATTTGGGAAGAGTATCCATTTAGTCAATCAGTCACTAAAGTGACTGATGGTTAAGGGGGGGTGATGTAACGGGGTGAATCGTTACATAACAATTTATAAGAAATTTTTAATAGAATATAACTATAAGAGTTATATTCTCAGAATATTGTCATAAGGACAATATTCTGTAGCACTTCCAAGTAGTTCCTAATTGGTTGATATAGGCCATTATATCAACCAACGAAGACGCGCCACGACAGACGCACGCAATGAGTGGTGAGCAGATAACTGATTTACACATTTGTATTTAGACATAGTTAGATGAAGATAAATAGTGATTTATTGCAGACATTAACTATTATAAATACAGTTCTACTTTTTACTCTAACCAAGTACTCGCTTCTTCTTACCGTCTTCCTCTGCACGTACGAGTGTACGTGAAGTTACGAGGCACCGCCTTATTCTGTTATCAGAATAAGTAGCTTGTACTGTCACCAGTACAAGCTTCAGGGTGCCCCGTTACAATAAACATGTCGCTGACGTTAAAACTCCCGTGCTTCGACCCATCGCTGACATCACCAGTTCCACTTTTTCACTGTACATCAACCTTCACATGAGCCGGTATACGACTTGCCCATGACCCGTCCCGTCTCCTCGCAGGTTCCTGTGGCGAGGCATTGTGCATTTTCCGCTTTGTTGCCGTATGCTCCTGCGCCGTTGCCGTATCCTCCTCCGCCATTGTCGATGTTGTGCCCTCCATCGAGTTGTCGAAGATATTTTTATTTCAATTAGAAAGCGTAGTATGATGAATAGTCATGGGTGATGAATAGTCTTGGGTGCTTCTTTTATGCGTCCTTTGATTTTGAGGTATGAATTAGTGTCCGTTCGAATACCTAGATTAGCAAACAATTATCGAGACTCATTAATAGCCGGATTAAATTTTACCTAGATAGGCAAAATGGCACGTTTTTAGGGAGCACTTTTGTTTTTTAGAGTCTCCCTTAACGAAGCAAGCATTATGTGCACTGTTTTTGAAGAATGTGTTGTAAAAGCTTGCATCGTACTACTTTTCCAGTTTGTTTATGGGCTAAAAGTCGTGTGGGCTGCACACAAAATTTTGTGACTGGGTAAAATGCAGCTCATTCGAATCGGCAATCTTACTTTTGAGCAGGAACGAAGAGCTGATTCAAATGAGTTTTTTCGATCGGCTAGCATCATTCCATTATGTCCCATTTCTTGATACATTTCGCCGAATCGTATTGACAAACCTCACTTCTATTTACATCAAAAATGCCGTTTTTAGTATATAAACTCATGATCAGATTGTCATGCTGCTTTCTGGATGGCTTAAACTTCTTGTTCGAGTGATATTCAGCATCTTTTGACTTCACTGCGTCAAAAACCTAAAGTCGCTAGAAAACGATCAGACAAATATTAGGTTGTTACTGGGCATCTGTAGTTTAGTGGACTCCAAAAAAATGTTGAACGCTTCAGAATGAGCGCTTTAAGCTGGTGGTACATTCGTCCAGGAATGCAGACTGTGTCAATAATGCGAGCTGAACGCGTGATCATTTGTTAGCGAATGGGACAGAGTGGTACAACGCTGTCCTGCACACAAGCGTTTGGAACATGTCTTTCTAAACTTATGTTGCTCCAAGACTGTCCACTCCTTGATGAACACGAACAATTACGGGTGGATTTTAAATTTGATCAAAGTGTGCCTTCTTAAGTACGTTAAGTGACGCTAGCCATTTGTTGGAGCAAGCCTCTTGTGTGGCGACCACATCTTCCTTGGTTGAGAACCCCGTCCGCCTTGATCTCCCTCAATCGCTATGAACGGCATGATGGTACGTCTTCTCAAGCCCTGCTGCTACGTCACCTTCGCCTTTGTACTTGACTTGGTGTGTTTCTGCCTAACTTCCCCCTTCCCTCTCTCCTTGAGCAGCAACCACAGATCATTTTGCTGAAGGAAGGCACGGACACGAGCCAGGGTAAGGCTCAGCTCATTAGCAACATCAATGCCTGCCAAGCCGTGATGGATGCTGTGCGCACGACTCTCGGACCACGCGGTATGGACAAACTCATCCATACTGGGGGCAAGACCACTATCTCCAATGACGGCGCCACGATCATGAACCTGTTGGATGTGGTGCATCCGGCCGCCAAGACACTAGTGGATATATCACTCTCACAGGATGCAGAGGTGGGCGATGGCACCACGTCTGTTGTTCTGATGGGCGCTGAGTTCATGCGACAGGCCAAGCCCTTCATTGAGGAGAATATGCACCCGCAGACAATCATCAAGAGCTTCCGCAAGGCAGGCCAACTGGCTGTACAGAAGATAAAGGATATTGAGATTCGCATAGCTCAATCGGATGAAATGGGTCGTCGTCAAATGCTGGAGCGTGTTAGTGGTACGGCTCTCAACTCGAAGCTTATCTCGCGACACAAGCAGTTCTTTTCTCCGATGGTAGGGGTGTACAGCTTTTATCTTGTGATTATGTTTCAAACAAGCTTATTTTTGTGGGTGGCTGCGTAGATTGTTGATGCAGTGTTGAGTCTGGACGAGGGACTGGACATTAGCATGGTTGGCATCAAGAAGGTGCCGGGTGGATCAGTCACTGATTCTTTCTTGGTCAAGGGTGTCGCGTTCAAGAAGACGTTCTCGTACGCTGGCTTCGAGCAGCAGCCCAAAACATTTGTGAACCCAAAGATTCTACTACTAAATGTTGAGCTGGAGCTCAAGTCGGAGAAGGAGAATGCCGAAGTACGTCTGGATGATCCCTCTAAGTACCAGTCCATTGTAGATGCCGAGTGGAACATCATCTATGAGAAACTGGATCTATGCGTGAAGAGCGGCGCTCAGATCATTCTGTCCAAGCTGCCTGTGGGTGACCTGGCGACACAGTACTTCGCCGACCGCGGCCTTTTTTGTGCAGGACGTGTCGCGCAGGACGATATGGCACGTACGCAGCGTGCCACGGGTGGTGTAGTGCAGACTTCGGTGCACGACATGAATCCGTCGGTACTCGGCTCATGCGGTCGCTTTGAGGAGCGTCAGGTCGGCAACGAGCGTTACAACATCTTTATGGAGTGTGCAGAGGCAAAAAGTTCGACTATCGTACTTCGTGGTGGTGCTGAGCAATTTATTGAGGAGGCTCACCGGTCTGTACACGATGCGCTCATGGTTGTAAAACGCGCTGTGGCTTCGTCTACGGTGGTGGCGGGTGGTGGTGCGATCGAGATGGAGGTATCACGCTATCTGCGTCAGTACGCGCGTACTATTGAGGGCAAAGCACAGTTGTTGGTGAATGCGTACGCCAAGGCATTCGAGATCATTCCCCGCCAAATCGCAGAGAACGCCGGCCACGACGCGACTGACATTCTGAACCGCCTGCGTCAGAAACATTTTAAAGACCCTGAGGAAGGCAAGTGGTTTGGCGTTGATATCACCACGGGTGGCATCTGTGACACATATGAGTCGCACGTGTGGGAACCTGCTGCCAACAAGATTAACTCGATTGCAGCAGCAACGGAGGCTGCATGCCTCATCCTTTCGGTTGACGAGACCGTGCGCAACCCAAAGTCGGAGCAGCCGCAGGCTGGTTCTGGTGGCGGTGCACCAATGAGCGCTGCTATGGGTGGTCAAGGCATGCGTGGTATGATGGGTGGAGGCCGAGGAGGTCCTAGTGGTATGGGCCGTGGCGTGCGCGCTTTTTCGGGGCAAGGGTGGCGCATAAGTGCTGCATTTGCCAGCTGCTGCGCCATAGGTAGATACGGTGTAGCTTGGCATCTGATTGAACAAGGCTGCACGCTTGGAAAGGCCCTCAACCTTGACTTGTGGGGATAGCAAGGACAGGAAATTGGGTCGGACTGAGATGCTTACGTGTTCGACGTCGACAGCGCACACCAATACTTATTTGAGTTACAGCCCCCTGACAGTGTCGGTATGTTGATGTAATTTGACCCGTATCTGTCCAGCTGTGAACCAAGCGAATTGCTTTCACTGAGAGCGCTAACACGTTTTCGAGCAAAGTAGTAGCGGCCACTTTCAATCGTTTGATGAGACCAAACCGAAACGATAGTACGGCTTCGATACTCCAATTGTGTTGCATACCACCAGGTGATTCCGCAACCCAAAGGGTCTAGTTGACGCTGAGATGTGGACAACAAAGAACCGCAAAAATCCTGCATCCACCAAGCTCTCTCGATCCGTTTTGTTGCCATGATCTTTATCTCACTTGAGCCCAGTGAATGGACTAACTGCGTATACACTACCGTTGCGCGATGTGCACGTTTTGGACGGTGTTTTGCCGGTGCCTTAGACGTGAAGACAGAAGTTGGATGTCAAAAGCCACCGAAGCATTGTATCTATTCGACTTGGGTACAAAGGTGTACAACCGAAGAAGTCGAGTTGCCGCAGCTCTCCCATAATATTAGTGGTAATCACAACTTGTGCGTCACACTCGAATTCAGTGCGTAAAGCGTTTGAGGCCGATCGCTTGCCTTTTGATCCTAGTATTGTTGCAATCTCGAGCAAGGCCTGTTTCAGTGTTTTGCGATAAAAGCTTGCTTGGTCCATGATCGACAGTATTGGAAGCTTCTGGAGTTCAAAAGCGACCCAAGGTGGCCGCTTGATCAAAGAATGTAGCCGCTATCCGGATGTAAGTCCATAAGTCGCACGTATATCAGCACAGAGGCCTCGAGTCAGCAACAAGGCATACTAAGCAAACTCGAGCAGCAAAAAGTAACGATCACCACAAAAACAAGGAGCTCATCTCTTTGTCACAAGATTGTCTTCGCATCGCCAACCTGCACAACGACTACGCTCGTGTGTGCATCAATACTGGTATATCAGTATATTTACAGAGCTCTAGTGACACCCTCCATATGCTTGACAACCTCCAGTACCGACTTGAAGCTGAAGGGCTCCGTGGCTGCCATGTCCGCCAACACCTTGCGATTCAGCTCGATGCCCGAGCCGTTCATCTTGCCGTAGAGCTTCGAGTACGAAAGTCCTTCCTGGCGCGCGCCTGCATTGATTTTCTGGATCCACAGAGAGCGCATGTCCTGAACAGTAGCGCCCAAAAAGAAGACCGCGCAATTATAAGTACAGCATCACACAGAGATAACTAGAATCAACTCTCAACCATTGCTACAGCTGCAACGTACGCGCTTTTTCTGCTTGCGGTCACGGTACTGATACTGCAGACCTTTCTCCACACGGTTTATGGCCGTACGATAGCACGAATTGGCGCGTCCTCGATAGCCCTTGGCCATAGCCAGGATCTTCTTGTGCTTGGCCCACGACATGTCACTTTCCTTCTTCTTGCAGGCGACAACCGACTAGATAGAGAGACTCCTGGTGGTGACCAGTGCGGACCCTCGTGTGACTTAATGCCCAATCACAGCACGAACCGCATTGGATTGGTTTTGACCAATCCAATGCCCACAACGTCATCACGAGCCTCATGCTGCACCACCTCCGCCGAGGCGCGTCAACCGCCGCCGTCCAGCGCTCGATCGGGCGGCCAGCGATGACGCAATCTCCATCCCGCACCTTCCACTTTAGCTCTTCAACAGCCAAGTCTTCATCTTCAAGTGGGAACCAGCGCACTGCCAGCGCCACTTCTTTCTTCCTGGACGCTAAGGCCGCGTGCAAGGGCAAGCGCTGCGCTCTCGGGAAGGAAACTAGTGGCATTGGAGCCAATCCAGCTACGTGTGGAGAGGACTCTTTTTTTTATCACACCTGACGTGGTGGGAGTGGCTGATGGCGTTGGTGGTTGGAATGAGAATGGAGTCGATCCGGGTAAAATCTCGCGTTCGTTGATGCGCAATGCGGCCGTTTTCGTGCGACAGCAGAGAGCTGAGAACTGTAGCGCCTCCACACAAAAAAATTCTGTCCCATGGCTACAATCAAACACTATTGGACGACGGAGTGGAGGCAGGTAGCACGACTGCTTGTATTGTAAGACTGAAGCAATCGACCGATTGCAAGCCGGTGCTCGAGTACTCGAACCTCGGAGACTCGGGCTTTGTTGTCATTCGACATGGCGAAATCATCTTCCGAAGTCAGTTCCAGGTGGGCAGTGGATTGGCAGCTTTGTTTGCTGAGTTGGTGGAGGGATCGCTGAGTGAATGCTGTTGTGTCTGTCGTGATTTAGTGTTATGGACGTGCACCGTATCAGCTGGCAAAAGTCCCGCTTCGATTTAAGCAGTATGGTGCTATTGAAAACCGCCCTGATGATGTACGCTCGTGCAGTTGCAGCTTGGTTGATATCGGGAATTGTGTGTGGCTGACAACAGTTTTTACGACGATTTAGGCTGACTCCGGTGAAATTGATGTACAAGATGGAGATCTTGTGGTGCTTGCCACTGACGGCGTATGGGACAACTTTGCGCCGGATCTCCAGAAGGTGCCGAGACAATTTCCGGTAGGAAGAGTTATATTCTTGAGACCAAAGCTATACGTGGCGATGTTAACTTTTGTTGTGGTTCGCCCATCTATTCCAGCCGGCGCTCTCCTGGCGACGGTACTGGTCGGTAGAGCTTGCGTCCTTTGTGGACGTTGTTGCGGAGAGCCCCGACGAGGCAGCCAAAAATATCGTGGTGGCCTCACTGCGCCACAATCTTAAACCGGACGACATTACGGTTATCGTGGCGAAAGTAGTCGTGATGGCATCTAAGCTGTAGCTACTTTCGTTACTGTCAAGCGTGCAAGCTTATCGAACCAAATGCAACGGGAGGTCTCATTAAGACATTTGAACGACAATTGCAACACCTGTTGTAAAAGCGTTAAGCTGCGGCAACATGAAGCACATGAAGCTGCACCTGTGCGTGATCCCAACTACGAAGTGCACCCCAAACAACATGTATTATACTGTCACACGTTCTTCTATCTTTATATGGTTCTTGCATCGTAAGAACCTCACCAACTTGAACGCAATCGATAGCACAGATGACCCTTCTGGATAATGCACCTCGATAATAACGCTATCAAGTTACCATTCGAACAGAGGGCTGCAATTCAAACAGCGAAGACTTTCCACAAGATTGAAGACCAGCTAGCTCATCAGCGATGCATGAGGCCCTTTGAACATTAAAACCAACAGAACGACTATTCCGAGCGTTCCTGCGACGGCCACGAGCGCCAACAGAAAACGCAACAACAGCACAGAAAAGATGCCATGTAGGATGCCTTTGGCTTCACCGTGGAACACCTTGACCGACTTGGACTTGCTGCTTTGAAAATGAAATAGCTCGTCAGATGCACCCGTCGTGTCACTCAAGGCGCGTCGTCGCGACTGAGCCGTGGACAACTTGTGAAAGGGCGAAAGTGTAGCAACAAGACGCGAGCTGCCGGGACGCCGGCGTCTCTGATGTGACGAGTCGATATCTTCTGAGTATGCTCGGACCGGAGGAGCTCGTGTTGGAATCGCCATGGTGGCCGATGTCTTGCTGTGCGGCTTGGGCCGAATGACAAAATTTGACTCGGGGGTCTATTGACCCCGTTACCTCAACGAAAGGTCGGAAGATAGGCGAGGAGGGGCAAAGCCGGACTGTACGCGAAACAAAACCAACGTCTTTTGATTGGTCGTGATTTTTGCTCGTCATATTGTAAGCGAGAGCTTACCAAAGACGGTCGCAAAGACCGCTGGCAAGCGACGGCCCACTAAGATTCGTGTACGACTCCCATATATGGAGGTCACCATTGCTCGCGATCATCCTCTCTTCGCAAAAATGAAGGAAAATTGGAACGAGTGCCATGTTTGCCTTCAACATCGTCGTAGCAGCTATACTTGTTGCGCATGCGTCAGATTACGCCTGTGGGGTGGCAGCTTGAGCTTTTGTGTACACAGGGAGGGACAGCGATGAAGTCTTCCCAAAATTTATTTTCTCATTAAATAATGCAGCACGACGCGCAAAAACTCACGGATTATGCCACATGAAACGGGGTTACACGGCGGTAATCGAACCGGTTATGTTGTGCGTCCACAACAAGTAAAAATCGGTGGATCTAAGTGGTGCAGTATTGGTACCACGCACCTTATTGGGTAAGGATAAGAGATAAGACCTCTGTCATAGGATCGCAATCCAGAAGTCAGTCCGACAAGGTTCTAGGGTTTCATTACCGTAGCTAGAGAATAAATAGAGTTCAGTTCTCCTTTTGAATCGTTGGACACAAGTACCTGGTCAAGGCGTAGTGTTTTGTTAGGAGCATTAGCCTTGTCAAGGCGCTTACCCTTGTTTAACTGGTAGTGACTAGTTAATGTGTGATTCTGTGAATCGTAATCCCTTTGAAACCGTACGTCGTTGTTATTTTGTTATAACTAAATGACTCTTTAAGTCTAAGAGTTCCTCTGTTAAGGAGTGCTAAGCAGCTCCGCTAAACCACAGATGCATACTCTTCTCTGTCGTGCAATGTAACACTTATTCTTAGTTCATGTCACAACATCGTGGGTCAACCGCTCGAACATGAGTCGCTAATGTTAGAGGTGGTCTTTGACGCCGTTGAATCTAGGAAGCTCATTGTCAAGATGGACCACGATGAGGTATATAACTTAAATGCATTTTCATAATACCTTATACTCGTCAGGTTCAAAATGGATGGATGATACCTATGGACTGTATTTTGTGATTGTACTTCCCAAACAAGAGACTATAAGCAATGAATGAGTCTGCTGCATGTATCTATACAAATCATGAGCACCTAATGAAAGACCCTACTTAAGGACCAAACACGTCTTGGCCCACCGCCGCGGGCCTCCTCAGTGGCTTGACAATCGCAAAGTGAGGTCTGTCGGTGCAGAAGCCTCTACCGCTGCCACATTTACGCATCAAACATTTAGAGCTACTTCTTATAAGGACTAATCTAGAACTTTTTAGCAGAATTCACAGGCGTACAGCTGGCACCTGCTGGTTAAGATTTCTACTTTTCAACAGGAGCCACTACTTTCTAGTACTATCCCATATTGTCGTTGAAGATCAAGATACGCTTAGTATTAGATACTAGTATGCAAGGTACGTCGTATGGGCTTCATTTAGACAAGAGCGGTAGTCGAATAGTAGCCGTCGGAATCCATTAGGTTTGACCTAACATAAGGCTAGGAATCCCATCGACGACTCTTGATTTCGATAGAGGACATTCTCGTAGAAGACTAGTTAGATTGAGACCGTGGCTTATTCCTTGATATGCGATTCACGCAGTAAGGTTTGTATATCTGAGTTTGGATCTGGTGCGATCGATAGTCGGTATTCAGTAAAGTTCATCTGACCCCTTTGTCCGTCATTTTCGCCACTATGCTAAATTAATGGTGATAAACAGTGCTGTGGGAGGTTGTTCTCTGACATATCTATTATAACCACGTGTTCAGACGATAGTACGCTGTTTAATAGCATGTTTTAATATTTTTCCAAAAAAAATCTGGTCGTGTTTCTCAGCGACTTCTGCTCGTGGTCCTCGAACCAGTGTTCAACTGTTTTTTATATCTGTCCCACCGTCCATTCATTTTTTTGTACGGAATAAACCTTAATGCATTGAATATGCCATGTCCAGGCTTATTTCGTCACCATTTATAGTTGAGTGATGATCGTGTCAATTCTGAGATTACAGAACGGGTGAATCGTGCTATTTAAAAACTCTTGATTTTGAGATATTCCTCACTGTGTCAAATTTCCAATAGGAAGGAAGGTAATTTCTTCCGAAACAAGAGGAATTATGGTCTACTCAGAGAATCTACATGTTCTTTAGTAGGTATTGTTTTTTAAGTGCCGCTGCCGATCAAGGCATCGAGCTTGTTTCATCCTCGTTGTAACTTGACAGCTTTATACAATGGTGGAAACCTCACTGATTATTTCTGCTTTCAACGAGACCACCAACTTCAATCGAACCTTCGCTTGTAGAGTTTGCGCCAATTGTAAAGACTGTGAAGCGAGGTGAACGACATCTGGAGAACTGGAAACAATGCATAGAAGCCGGAATTGATGTTATGTCTTTTCGGAGGTAATAACTGTTGGACCGTAAGATAGGCTATCAGTAATATCGTACCTTACCGAATATGATTCTACAGTTGACAGAGTAGTACTAAGCACAACATACATTTTGATGACTGCATAATGTGTCCATCATCAACTATTTCTATATACTGGGGTTATCTTAATAAGGAAAAATGCCCGTCGTGTAGGATACTGATGGCAGATTCGTTTACTGTAACAGGTGAGTCCGTTACATAAATCTTACGTAGGTAAGTACTAAGATTATGGTAAGTATCAAGTGTGTAAATAGTTTTAGGAGCATATTGTGTTTTTAGAATAAGAAGGCAAGCTCTGGATACCACCCTTTACTATAATTAATTCATTCCATATAATTGAATGCAGCTCTGTATTTTAATCACGTCCTTTGCGCTTTGTCACTGATATCTTTACCTTTCTTAATCGCAGTAATTATTTTTGATAAACGAAGAGGATTTGAAAGATACATCGCACTTAGTGCTATGTGTAGGTAGTTTCAGCGTTTATTTATAATACATGGAAAGAAGCGACATGCTAAAAAACTTCACTTAGTTCGACGTGTGAAGTACATCAAACATTACCCATGGAAATTAGATCACACTTATTGTGACGTGTGAGGCACATCTGGCGTTACGTACACATTCAGACAATTTGATAGACCAAATCGAATTCAGTTGAAAGTTTAAGACTCGTCGATTACTTTCACAAACACACACGGAGAGACAGGCGTACACTCTAACAATTTCGAGCAAAATGTTGTTTATTTAGCTTAAGAACAAATACTTTAAGTTAGCGCACGCTGCAGAGACCGTGTCTGATCTGAAAGCGCATCTAACACTTTGTTTTTTAGCCAATAGCTATTAATTTTTGCTCAGTTAATTATGTAGGAACCAGTATTACGTGAAATCTAGCTATTTTTTGTGTTGCGGAGGACAGAAACCACGTTCAAGTCACATTAAGTCACAATGTCCATCTCGGTGAAGCATTCGTACAACGCTCACACATTTCTTGATGACGTTAAAGTCTTAAGGACAAGTGTTGGAGTCCTCTACTTGTCTCAATTCTGCCTTAACCAGGCGGATGAACACATTGCCGGTGCATACAATCCAGTGATATAAGCATGCTTGAAAAATCTCGCGTCTCTTTAACTATTAGTAAGCGTCTGACGTATGGTGTGTTGGTCTATTACTTATATAATTCACCAAAGATTTTGCAAAATGCGTTAAAAAAAGTGAGTCAACAATTAAAGTACCATGTTCTCTCCGGGTCTCACGTACACACCGACCAAGTTTGCCAATATCATCCACAAGATCGTTACAGAGATGTTGTTGTTGTTTATAATCGATAACAGTCCTAATCATACCACTGCATCCTATTTGCCACGTAAATATTATTTTTAATTGCAGCTAAACGATAGTTTGGGTAGAGAGAACACAAAGAGACATATACTGGGAATTCTATTATTACGAATTATGTTGTATCATATCCTGTACAATACGGAATAAGATTGTGCTGCATTCGAAATTGACTCTGGGAGAGAAGACTCAATTACGCTAGGCTTGCATCAATACTATCGCACACGGTACGTTGGCGTCTATAGACGTGGTAATGGTTGAAATTAGCATTTCTGCCTGAAGTTGAACCTCTTCGTAATGAAGGTGATATTAACACAACTAAAACCAAAACAGTCAGAACCTCCAGCTCATCGACTTTGTTATCTATAAATTAAAGGCACTTTACGGATCTTTATTGCAATGTTTAAAGGATCAGAACAATAAAACTGCGTTACATGTTTGATTTGGCGGATATTTGTTGCCACAGTCAGATCATAAGCTACTAAAAAAAGGATGTTCGTTTTGCAAAATCATTGCTTTCAATCTTGTCAGCTTTTTAAGTGGTTCGCAATGCTTTTGGGTTAAAAAGGATGATTTTATTGTGTTGCTTACTCTGATTCCTCATAATTTATGCGAAAATATTAGGTGGTACAGTAGTTTTTTTTCACATGAATAAAAAAATCGTTGAGTAGTCCCAAATATAACTCTTAACGATATGCATAAATGGAATAAATAGTAAATTAAATCTTCACGGATCGCGCATCAGGCGTACATCGATTATTCTGGCGCTCGCTGATCAAAAGATTTGATATACGGTACCTTATTAGTCGTATACATATGACTAAGTTGAATAAACTGCGCTTCGCAAAGTCACGGATATCAACCAGGTAGATTGTAGACGCAATGTATGGAACTGGTCGAGATAACATTTTTGAATTATTTTCTTAAAGTTTTAATGTGTGATGGTTTTGTTACTGCTGTTGTATTGTTATCCGATCCAGTATTAAGAATCTGGGGAAATTTAGATTTTGAATCGTGTTATATTGATGACAGAGGTATAGCGAGTCAACATAGACTTCATAGGAAGTGAGGATATA